ATCAGCTGCCTCCTGCACATCTCCCACTGGGGATGTGCCCGCAACCCAGGCACATGCCCTTGACCGGAATCGAACCTGGGACCTTTCAGTCCGCAGGCCGACGCTCTATCCACTGAGCCAAACCGGTTTCGGCAGGTTCATCTTAATTTAAAGATCACCAGCAAAGGGCCTGGCTTTAGTCATGGAGTTGCCAGTCATTTGGGGTTGGTAAATAATCTCGGGGTAGTGGTTGTGAAAAAGGAAGCAGAAGTACTGAAATAAAAAGGGAGGGGCGAAGGGGCCAGAAAGGAAGTAAGACAGGTGGAAACGTATGACTTTTCAACTTCCTGATGGAAAGATACCAAAAGAAATAAAACTCTTCCAACTCTGAGATCCTTTCTTTGGCCATATTTGGATGTATATGCCATATTGCCAACTTCAACTATATATGTCTATGCATACAGATATATACACACACGTATCACCTGCTATATCATATATAGCTGCTATTCATCTGTATAGGATACATTTTATTCATTTATTTACCTACTTATTAAAGATTTTTAAATTATTTTTTAGAGAGAGGAAGGAAGAGGGAGAGAGAGAGAGAGAGAGAAACATGGATGTGAGAGCATAACATGATCCGCTGCCTCCTGCATGATCAAGCCCAAAACCCGGGCAGCTAGCTGCCTTGACTTGGAATAAACAGGCAACCCTTCAGTACACAGGACATGTCCAACCAACTGAACCACACCAGCCAGGGCTAAAGCATATGGAATTAATCTACTTCCCTTTCATGAAGAACACAGGATAGGTAGGCAACATTCTATCTACTCTCCACATTTCCAACGGTCATCCCAACAGCCATTTAAAGTTACAGAGAAGGAGACAGAAGGTCGGGATCTTGTGGCATCAGCTTCCTATGGATTGCTCTCCAACTTTTTGTGTTCCTGGTTTTTGGAACCTCTTTACCATCTTCCGCATGTAAGATTCATATTAGTGGAATTATAGTTTTAATTTCCACGCTTGACATTGACATTGAAGGCCACACTTTCTAAGTCAGGGAGGCTAAGTAGTAACAGCAATGTTTTATTTTTTATCTAATGTGATGGGTTTTATAACAGTTTTCCAAACTCTTCCACATCTTTCTTTTCCCCTTTCAATGCCTGAATATATATAGATATATTTTATTGATTTGAGAGAGGAGAGAGAGAGAGAAACATCTATTTGTTGTTCGACTTATTTATGCATTCATTGGTTTATTCTTGTATGTGCACTGACCGGAGACTGAACCCAAAACCTTGGTGTATCAGGACGATACTCTTAACCAACTGAGCAACTGGCCAGGGCTTGCCCGAATATTTTGGCTTCCTAACCCAACTCCTTTATAGTCTCTTTGCTTTGAAACATTCCTTTCAATGATTTACATTTGCTTTTCCAGTATATATCCTTTACACCAACTCACTACCTACAGCTTGCTATGAAGACCACTCTAATATTGAGAACATTATAGTTTTTTATGAGAAGCCCCCAAACCACAGGTAAAATAATACGTTTCTTGTAAAAAAAAAAATAGCATTATGCACCTTACTTGCTTTACCAATGGGGAAACAGAAGCAGAGAAATTACTAAGATTTGATCTAAGTCATAGACAAGTCACTGATAATATTCAAACTATGAGATCAGACTCTCAGAGTAGTGCCTGAAAGCTAAAGACAAAAAGTTCTTGTAATGAGGATTATCTTGATTCCTTTTTTCCTTTTTTAACTCTTTATTAAAGTATACAACTTGCATAGGTTTTTCATTTGCAGATTTTCAAAGGCTTCTAAATAGAGATGCCTAGAAATCTGTTATTGGTAGGACTTACAACTTTTTGACACATTATTGATTTCCCCACTCCTTCTGAAATACCATGGAGGGAAATGAATTTTTTTTTAAATCAAAGGCTGTTTATTGGACCTAATATTATCATATTATACTATCGGGTATCCACCATAATTTTATTTTATATTTGAAACATAGTTATTGAAATATAATTCATATACCATAAAATTCACACATGTAATGGTTTGGGGCAAATTCACAGAGCTATGCAACAACCACCACAATCTAAGTATAGAACATGTTCAACTCTCATTCTTTTTTGGGGGGAGGGGGTTCAATTATAGTTGATAGTCAATATTATTTTATATTAGTCTCAGGTGTATAGCATAGTGGTTATGCAATCACATACGTTACAAAGTGTTTTCCCTGATATTTCCGCACTCACCTGGCACCGTATACAGTTATTACAATATTATTGACTATGTTCCCTATGCAGTACTTTACATCCCCATCACTATTTTGTATCTACCTATTTGTACTTCTTAATCCTTTCACCTTTTCCACCCAGTTCTCCAACCCCCCTCCCCTGTCCAAGGGAAATGAATTTCCAAAAGTACATATGTCCTTCATTTCAGTTATTCCAGATAAGCCTGCCTTGACCATATGTGAGGTTGTCAGCTAGTCTTTTAAACAATATATTATTATAGGAACTACATGCAGCCTTCAATTCCTCTATATCAGTGGTCGGCAAACTCATTAGTCAACAGAGCCAAATATCAACAGTACAACGATTTAAACTTCTTTTGAGAGTCAAATTTTTTAAACTTAAACTATATAGGTAGGTACATTGTTATTAACTTAATTAGGGTCCTCCTAAGGCTTAGGAAGAGCCACACTCAAGGGGCCAAAGAGCCGCATGTGGCTCGCGAGCCGCAGTTTGCTGACCACTGCCTATATCAAGTTGTAGGTAGTAAGTCTGGGTTTACCCTTGACTTGCTGCATTAGGACCTTCTGAGTCATGGACTAGAGATTGGGACAATTAAGTCCCCCCGGCCCCCACTTTTCCTCAATAGGGTCACAAGCACTGCTGCAATGAAGCCTATGGCCCTACTATTTTTTTGTTTGTTTTGGTTTTGTTTTAAAAATCATTTTCTGTGTTGTTGTGTGGTTTTTTTAATAAAAGATGGTGGCCTCTAGTCTTAGGTTCACATAGTAAGGCACTGTGCTTTCTTGTGAGGCACACATCTTGTATATAAAGGAAAGGCTACCGGCTGGCTAAAATACTCTCTCTTGGTCAAGTGGTTAGTTGGGTCAATAACAACTGAGTTGTTCTTTGTGAAAGGCTGAGTACTGACAGTTACAAAAATAATTAGAAGTCAAGCTCTTGCTAGTAGTACATTTTGAAAAGATATACATATAAAAACAAATTTAAAATATAATTACAGAACACATTTACATAAGTCAGCAAAAGCCCGTACTTGGGAGCTGATGATATTTTTTCTGTACTAAGGCTTTGAAATCCAGTGTGCATTTTACGTTGACAACGCATCTCAATTCTGACTAGCCACATTTTGGATGCCCAGGAGCCCCATATGACTAAGTGGGTTAGAGCTGGATGGAATTAGTCAATGAGGACTTTGGAAAAGGTGAGTTTTTAAGGAAGGGAGGAGCAAGAGGTCTGTCCAGCAGTAATGCATGAACATAGTAGGGAAGAGAGAATAAGCCAGCTGTAAGGGCCAAATAGTAAACAGGTTAGCTTGTTAAGACTGGAGAATATATATTAAAGGATAGGAAGAAACAAGTCTGAGAAAATGGTAAGGACAGTTCACAGACAGCCTTAAATGGTTATAAGCTGAATTTTCTTTAATTGACCAAAGAGAGCCTTATGGGTTCTTGCATAATGAAAATAACTTTTTAAGAAGCTGAGATACAGATATATTAGAATAAATCAAAATGGGAGACTTACCAATGGACATGGACAACAGGGGGATGGGAGCATGAGTGTGTGTGTGTGGGGGGGGAGGTTGGGGGTTAATGGGAGGGATGAGAACACATTTGTAATACCTTAACTAATAATAAAAAAAAATGGGAGACTTAGAAAAATAGGGAAATTGCTGCAAAATTTTCTAGGAGATGAGAGAGAGAGAGAGAGATAGAGATAGATAGATAGATAGATAGATAGATAGATAGATAGAGAGAGAGAGAGAGAGAGAGAGAGAGAGACAGGTAGGCAGGCAGACAGACTGGGTTCTAATGCCAGCTCTACCATGTATTAGCTATGACCTTGGGTAAGTCACTGAATCTCTGTGTGCCTGTTTTCTCATCTGTAAAATGGGGATAATGCTATCAACCTAACACAGTTGTTGAAAGGAGTAAATCAATTAATACATAAAAAGTGTTTACTAAGCACTCTCTACATTATTATTCCATTTTTAGCTAAGTAGATGACTAATCTATTACTATTTCTAGGACCCAGAAGTGATCACAGATATGCACCCATGTGAAAAAGGCCCCCTCTCACACATTAGTTTGAAAGGATTGCAGACTTTCAGTCTGTCTTAAAAGCTATGTAGGATGTAGAGGGTAGGAGGGCAAGCCCAGTGTCCAAGACTGTGCTGTCTAATGCAACAGCCACTAGTCACATGGGGCTACTGGGCATCCAGAATGTGGCTCGTCAGCATTGAGATGCAATGCACACTGGATTTCAAAGCCTCCGTACAGGAAAAATATGATTCATGTTTTTATATTGATTACATGTTGAAATGATAATATTTTGGATATGTTAGGTTAAATAAGATGTATCAATTTCACCTGTTTCCTTTTTCCTTTTTATAAATTTTTGATGTGGCTAATAGAAAATTTGAAGCTAGTTGGCTCACATGATATTTATTTTGTACAGTACTGGTCCAGTACAACTTTCATTACTGAGATTTGGAAATTAAGGGGGTCTACATGAGAAGGGTCTATAAAAGCATAGGGGCTTATGGATGAATCTTGTCCTTAACACGTTAAAATATTTAAAAATGTGTATATATATATATATTCCTCAATTTGCTAGGTAGCTACAGAACTGAGGGAGCCACAGTTAATTTACCTTTCAAGAGGCCACAATTGGGAAAGGGATTAAAATTTTTTTTTTTTTTTACTTTTTAAAAAAAGCAAGAACAAAGATGAAAATGGAGAAAGGTAAAACATACCTTATTTTGAACATTAAATCACGGAAACAAACATCTAACCTTTTGAAATCACTCCCTCAAAGGTCGAAATCACTCCCTCAAAGGTCCAAATCACACTGGCTTCAGTGATGCGGACTTAGGAGAAGTTTCCTGACACCATTTTTCACAGCATCCCTGCAAGTCGCTACTTAAAATAACAGGACCGGCTTCCCGCTGGCCCGGGGGCAAAACTCCCGCTCAGGGTTTTGCTCTGAGTTATTTTCCCACTGACCCTGACTGCACTGACCGACGAAGGAGGCTTCC